TTTTCATCTCGGCTATAGGCCCTTGTGCAGCTGCCCCATCTCCTTGTCTGTTACCCGAGTAAAGACTCTTTCTGGCCGTGATAAAAATCCTCGTGTAAACGTATACTAGAAAGAATACTGGAATGATCACATCGGCAAAAAATACTATCTTGTCAAATTCGTTGGAGTTATTTAATATAGTCGGGATGCCGAAGAAAAGGAGAATTAGAAGTGCTGCACAACATTCAGAAATCATAATTCTCTTTTTTGAAACTTTAGTGTGATGAATAAAGGGATGTACAACGCGCATATATCTCTCAAAGCTTAATAAACACAACGTGAATACGGACAATGTAATTGGGAAGTATACTAAAGTAAAATTTACCCAACATATAACCCTATTCTCAATACGAATAATGTCTTTGAGTAGTACGTGTGCCGTTAATAAAGGCAAGGTTATAACACCTGTGATAACATCAACTGTAGATTGAATTAAAATGGTAAAGTTGCTAACTTTCTCCTTCAGTTGAGAACATTTGCGAATAGTAAATATTGAAATACCATTTATAAATTTATAAATGGGCGTTGTGAAAACCCGGAATGCCGGAATATCACGGAATATGGCGGAATATCACGGAATATGCCGGAATATCACGGAATATGGCGGAATATTGCGACATTTTCCCGGAATATACCGGAACATCACGATATTTTCCAATGGTAGCCATGGGCATGTACTAAAAGGCGAAACGTCGAAACGAAACGACCGAAACGAAACGGCCGAAAATGTAAATTACAGGAAAATTGAAAAATGCGGATACGGACGGACGGACGGGGGGGACAGGCGGATGGACGGGGGAGACAGGCGGATGGACGGGGGAAGAGGCGGATGGACGGGGGGGACAGGTGGATGGACGGGGAAAGAGGGGGGTGGACAGGGGGGGCGGCTTCATTTGACACGAAACTCAATTTTAAAATCAAATCCTCGTTTTGTTGAAAGGGATATATTAGGATATAGTATAAAAGACTATTATTAATCGTAATAAATTGTCCGCGAAAAGTTGATAAAATACATGTGGAAATGCAGAGTTTTTCAAACCTTCGTAACGCTTGATCGGATAAAACGCGGATATGCTGCAACTTTCATGCTTAATTTTCTCAGTCATCTGGGTATGTAGTAATCTAATTTTATGCAATGTAATGTGTTATATTTTCAAGGGCTTTTCAATGCAGTTATCGGTTTAAATATACCTAAATTCCCGTTAAGAGATATGACAATTGCCGTACGGCCTACTTTTACGCAAACGAAAATTAGCTACAATTGCCACTTTCATGCTTAATTTTCTCTGTTATCCGGGCATGTAGTAATGTAATTTTATGCCAATGTGATGTGCTGATGAAATTTGCAGTTGTAATTTGCGTTTGCGTAAAAGTAGTCCTTACGGCAATTGTCATCACTCAACGGGAATTTGAGTTATATTTAAACCGATAACTGCATTGAAAAGTCCTTGAAAAAACAGCACATTACATTGCATAAAATTAGATTACTACATACCCAGATAACAGAGAAAATTAAGCATGAAATTTTTGCAATTGTAGCTAAATTAAATTTTCGTTTGCGTAAAAGTAGGCCGTACGGCAATTGTCATATCTCTTAACGGGAATTTTAGGTATATTTAAATCGATAACTGCATTGAAAAGCCCTTGAAAATATAACACATTACATTGCATAAAATTAGATTACTACATACCCAGATGACTGAGAAAATTAAGCATGAAAGTTGCAGCATATCCGCGTTTTATCCGATCAAGCGTTACGAAGGTTTCAAAAAACCCGCATTTCCACATGTATTTTATCAACTTTTCGCGGACAATTTATTACGATTAATAATAGTCTATTATAATATATCCTAATATATCCCTTTCAACAAAACGCGGATTTGATTTTAAAATTGAGTTTCGTGTCAAATGAAGCCGTCTCCCCCCCCCGTCCATCCGCCTGTCGTCCCGTCCATCCGCCTGTCCCCCCCCGTCCATCCCCCTCTTCCCCCGTCCATCCACCTGTCCCCCCCGTCCGTCCGTATCCGCATTTTTCAATTTTCCTGTATTAAATTTACATTTTCGGCCGTTTCGTTTCGGTCGTTTCGTTTCGACGTTTCGCCTTTTAGTACATGCCCATGGCTACCATTGGAAAATATCGTGATGTTCCGGTATATTCCGGGAAAATGTCGCAATATTCCGGCATATTCCGTGATATTCCGGCATATTCCGTGATATTCCGCCATATTCCGTGATATTCCGGCATTCCGGGTTTTCACAACGCCCACTGGCTCAGTGTTACATTTCAGCACATAACATGCAATTCTGACAATGTAAACTCTGTTACTATATAAATGTGAAGTTTTTTTAACTTTGAAGTTAGAAAAATCTTTTGAATATTGAAACAAACCTATAATTGCTTGCAAATTCAGGTAAACCACAGGCACAGCTGGCAGCATGGCCTAGGTGTTGTATTTGTACACAGACTTGATTTATAGTTTCAGCAATCTATGAACTCATTGAGTCGCATTGAGCCCTCGCCGTCCTGATGGGCCCTACTTTATTTAATATTTTACTTTGTCTAACGCCAGACGATTTTACTTGTCAAGGGGAGAGTGCTGGCGCAGCTTAATTGGTTAACTAGCCTATACGTCTATGTGTCTAGTTAGTGCATTGAGTTACATTGCACCCTATGTTATTATTTTACTCTGTCAGTCTCTATCTACCAGCAGACAAGTTAACTTGTCAACAGAGAGCGCTGGCGCTTAATAGTTAACTAGCTTATATGTCTATGTGTCTAGTTAATCTATTGAGTCGCACTGCGCCCCGATGCGCCCTACTTTATTATTTTACTCTGTCTAACGGCAGACGATTTTACTTGTCAAGGAGAGAGCACTGGTGCTTAAACGGCTTAATGATTAACTACCCTATATGTCTTTATGTCTAGTTAGTGCATTGACTCACATTGCACCCTGATGCACCCTATGTTATTATTTTACTCTGTCAGCCTCTATCTAACGGCAGACAAGTTAACTTGTCAACAGAGAGGGCTGGCGCTTAATGGTTGACAAGCTTATATGTCTGTGTGTCTAGTTAACCCATTGAGTCGCACTGCGCCCTGATGCGCCCTACTTTATTATTTTACTCTGTCTAACAGCAGACGATTTTACTTGTCAAGGGGAGAGGGCTGGCGCTTAATGATTTAAGTTCTGAAAGTAGCAAGGAAAACCACCCATGTGAGGCTTATGTTTTTATATACCAATGATACAGCCACAATACATCCATGGATTGTCGGTCCACCTTTTGTGTTAACTCAGTAAGCCGCAGTGTTTCCCAGTGTCACCATCAGTCATTTGCTTGTTTTGTATATGCGATACTGAGTAGATATGTGATGTGCCCCAAAGACAGTCGTGTTTACAGGCTATACCCGTAGTAATCGGGCTACTTTGTTATTTTGGTCTTATATCAGTCAGATATTTAAATTTACCCTTAAAGACAGTTACCGTACTGTAACAATATTGGGTTTATCAGCTATAGTGATGCAAGATTTTTAATCTCTAAACCTTTACCATTTTCTTCTAGGTCTTGCAAGGCAAAGTTTATTTACTAATGGCAGAATATTGTGAAATAATGTGTCACTGACTTTGGCTTATTCCTGCCTACTATACTGAACTATATGTTGTGTATTAAGATTGACTATGACTGTAATATTAACCCTGTCAGTAATTGCCAAGTGCAAGTGAGGGTTGATCTAATTAAAAATGTATTATTATTTGATTGCAAATAGTGTTCTCAATTAAATTGTCAGGTCTAATAAATATTTTTACCAGGACTATTGGCAAATATTGTTCCCAGTATTGTTCCTTATGTTCAGTAGTGTACTAAACATTTGACCACGGAATAACAAATTCATAAACTTTTTTATCCAGTGTGTATTATTTTAGTCTTTTTGAATTGATCACATGTGAACATTTCCTGCACAGGCAAACAACACATTCATATGGGTTTTCTTCTCTGTGTGTTCTTTTATGTGTTAACCCATTGAACCGCAATGCGCCCCATCTATTTTTTTACTTTTCTAACGCCAGACAATGGGGAAGCTCTCGTCACTGGGGAAGCTCTCGTCACTGGGGAAGCTCTGCCAATGGGGAAGCTCTGCAACTTAATGGGTTAAGCACCCTGGTTGTGGAAGTATGAACATCAATGGATACAAAGACATAGTGTATATCATATAATTTATTAATATACAAATCAAAGTACTTTGCCAATGCAGGAAGTTCAAATAATATACACATACCAGTAAAATGCCTGTCACATACTGATACA